AAAATAAATTTAAAAAAAGAGAGATGTTGCCTTGGCTGGTTTGGCTCAACGGTTAGATGTCGGCTCGTGGACAAGAGAGTCCCAGGTTTGGTTCCTGCTAAGGGCATGTACCTTGGTTGCTGTTTGTCCCCAGCCCCGGTTGGGGTCATGTGAGTGGCAACCACTTGATGTGTCTCTCCCTCATTGATGTTTCTCCCTCTCTCTCTCTCTCTCTCTTTCTCTCTCTCTCTCCTGCTCTATCTGAAGATAAATGCAAAAATGTCCTCGGGTGAGAAAAAAAAAACACAAATGAAGAAAAAAGAGAGATGCTAATCTTTCAATTTCTTGTTTTAAAATTATGTTTTATTTATTTTTAGAGAGAGAAAAGGAGAAGGAGAGAGAGATAGAGACATCGATGAGAGAGAACATTGACTGGCCGCCTCCTGCATGCACCCTATTGGGATTTGACCCACAACCTGGGCAGGTGCCCTGACCAGAGTCAAACCAGTGGCCTCTTTGTGCATGGGTTGATGCTCAACCACTGAGCTACACTGGCCGGGCTCTACTCTTTCAATTTCATCATTCACTTCATATATGGATTTTTTCATTTCACACCCATACATGGAACTCATATGCTATGTCTGACCACTGTTCCTAGTTGTTATTTGAGTTTTTTGGCCACTGCAATAGACTATAAACTTGATCTTATTCTCTATTGTAATCCTGGCACCTTACTCATTGCCAGTCATGTTGCCTATGCTTAATACCTATTAGTTGAACAAGTGAATCAATAACATGCACCACAATGTGGACTCAATACAGGAAAATGGTTAATTGTCCACAGTTATAGTTTTGCTTAATCACACAGATATAGGATAATAATCACCTAATTGTTACTCTACTCCTCATCCCTGGCCTTCAACTGTCTTTTAATGTGTATTTCAAGTTTTCTGTCTTTTTCAGAATCAGTCATTTCCCCTAGTGTGCCATTTTATTTTACTTTTCTTTTTAATTTAAAAGAGGTCTCTAATATCTGTCATTGGTATTTACTTCAAATAATCCAGTATCTTTCAAGCTGAAGGTTCAAGGAGTTCCTTAGAAGAGAAGTAGAGCTAAAATATCCAAAAAACTATTTGGTGGTAGCCACTTTGTAAATAGATTAATGGGTTAAAGTGATAAAGTGACTGACTGTCCTGGATTAGTTAGCACAGTACTCAGCTCTTCCTTTTTGTCTTGGTGAAACTGGCCCAGATTCCATTCAAGATTAAGTGTTCTCCAAGTTCTCACCATCTGAAAACTGGGAGGCTGTCAAACTGTAGGTTAAATGCCTGAGGATATTAGGATTTTCAGTCCAGGCAGATTATAAAGCCAGGGTAACATCCAGGCACTATTTTCCTTGAGACAAATTTAGGAAGATGTCAGTTCAGAAAATGGGTTTAACTGGGATGTAATTCCAAGAGGCAGAAACTGTGGATTGATATTACTAGAAATTGAGATTCCAGTAGTGTGAATTCTGGAATGGCTTTGTAGTTGTAAGAAACAGAAACAAATAAAATGTATCGAACACTCTTCTGTTACAGGCATTAGGCTGGAGGTTTTAGATGTATACTTTCATTTTATAATTTAATTTTTATTCCACCCATTTTACAAAGGAGTTAGCTAGTTAAAGAACTTGTTCCATCTCACACACACAAGTAATAAGTGGTAAGACCAGAATACCAACCCCAGACCTTCTGACTCTTAATCCATATTTTTACTATACCAAAAAATACAGAAAAGCACAATTATGCCCTGGCCAGTTTACTCAGTGGTTAGAGCACCGGCCTGCAGACCAAAGAGTTGAGGGTTTGATTCCAGTCAAGAGCCTTGGTTGCCCTGGCCAGTTTGGCTCAGCGGTTGGAGCGTCGGCCTGCGGTCCTGAGCCTTGGTTGCGGTTGGGTCCCTGGCCCTGGTCGGGGTTATGTGGGAAGCAACCAAGCAATGTGTCTGTCTCACATTGATGTTTCTCTCTTTCTCTCTCTCTCTTTTCCCCTCATTCCCCCCCTCCCGCTTTTTCTGAAAATAAATGGAAAAATATCCGCGGGTGAGGATTTAAAAAAAAAGAAAAGCACAGTCAATATTAAGCACAAATGAATAGCAGAGAGTTAGCAAATGGGAAGCCAGAGGCCAGAAACTCAACACCTGTATAACCAGATATGAAAGATAACTCCTAAGCCAGGGGTTAAAAAATATATTTATTTCATAATTAATGAAATATAAACAGACTACATAAAAATGTTTTTCTCTGGAAATCTAGATTTTTCTCTAAAGACCCTGAATTAGTATGTGTCATTAAGTAATACGCGATGTTGGGCAAGTAACAGACTGTTAGAGCCTCAAATTCCTTATTTTATTTTATTTTTATTTATTTATTTTTTTTATCCTCACCCGAGGATATTTTTCCATTTTTTGTACAGATAGAGTGGGAGGGAGAGAGAGGAAGGGAGAGAGAGTGAGAAACATCGACGTGAAGGGACACATCGAGTGGCTGCCACCGGCACGACCAACCAGGGCCGGGGACAAACTGCAACCGAAGTACGTGCCCTTAGCGGGAACCGAACCCGGGTCTCTCCGGACCGCAGGCCGACGCTCTAACCGCTGAGCCAAACTGGCCAGGGCTCAAATTCCTTATTTTAAAAAATAAAGACAGCCTTGGCCGGTTTGGCTCTGCAGTTAGAGCATCGGCCTGTGGACCAATGAGTTGTGGGTTTGATTCTGGTCAAGGGAACATACCTTGGTTGCAGTTCATCCCCAGCCCTGGTCAGGTCATGCGGGAGGAAACCAGTTGATGTGGCTCTATCACATTGATGTTTCTCTCTGTCTCTCTTTCTCTTCCTCCCTCCCATTCTATCTGATAATGAGTAGAAAAATATCATGTGAGGAATAAAAAAGAAATTGATTTTAGAGAGAGACGGGGAGAGAGAAAAACATTGATGTGAGAAACATTGATGGTTTGCCTCCCACAAGGGACCAAACCCACAACCGGGGTATGTGTCTTGACTGAACTGGCGACCTTTCAGTGCATGGGGCAATGCTCCAACTAAATAAGCCACACTAGCCAGGGCTACATTAGATTTTCTGAAACTGGATGCTGTTTGTTTTATTATTTTCCTTTAACTTATACATTTAAGTTATATACATCTTGTTTACATGATAGATGTAGAAATATAACAGATTTCACACAACAACAAAAAAATAATATGGAGTTCAAAAGAGAAGTCAGGAATTGAAATGAATCAAGATGTTAAAGAGAGAGGGCATTTCAGCATGAGGAACTAAAATAAGCACAGAGGCAGGAAGGTGGGGTAGGGAGAAGTAGGAGGGAAACAGAGAACAAATCATTTTTACAGTACCCTATAGTTGTAGGGGAGTAGTGATGGAGGAAAATTAAAGTTGTTGCCAGAATGCAGAGATTCTTGGAAGCTGGCATGAAGTTTTTTTGTTTTCTTTTTTTCCTCACCCAAGGACATTTTTGCAGTTTAGCTTCAGATAGAGCGGGAGGGAGAGAGGGGGTAAGAGGAAGAGAAACATTGATATGAGAGAGACACATCGACTGGCTGCCACCCACAGGACCCCAACCCAGCCGGACAAACTGCAACCGAGGTACCTGCCCTTAGTGGAAACTGAACCCTGGATTCTCTGGTCCTCGGGGCCGATGCTCTAACTGCTGAGCCAAACGGGCCAGGGCTGGTGTGAAGTATTTATTTGTACACGTCACACTGTAAACAATGATGACTTTGTATCAGTTAGGATTCCTTAGTTTTAGGCAACAACAAAAACAATTGTGGCTGACCAAAGTAAAAAAAAAAAAGAGAGAGAGAGAGAGAGAGAGAGAAAAGTAGAGAGGTGGATAAAGAAAGAGGAAGGAAGGACATAAGGAGAGGGGAAAAGAGAAACAGAAACAGAGAAATAAACTGACTAGTTTATTGAGTAGCTTACATTGTCAAATGACCAGTCCAGAAGCCTGGCATCTCTGGGAATCTCAATGAGATGAACTGACAGACCAGCTCTTTAGAGAACTCAGTTCCTACTGCCTTCTGTCCCAGTGTTTCTCCATGCAAGATTCCGGTTCCTGGGAGAGTATGACTGACCTAGCATTTCCATCTCTGTGATCTGGGAGGTCGGGTTCTGTGCTTGCAGTTCATTAGAATACAGCCACCAGATAGATATGAGTAGGTAGATCCCCAAAGGAAGGGACCCCGAGTAGACTAAAAAAAAAAAAAAAAAAGGCCCAGTGTGGATTCCACAGTAAACTATGGGACGATTACTGTGCAAAACTTAAGAATTCCTTTACTCAAATAAATTAATTCTTCATCAAAAGATGTATTAATTTAGTTAAACCTCCGGAATCGTTGACTTCATCCCACTGAGCTAACATTTTCGGTCTGGTGACTTTAAAATATGTTCATCTCTACTACTGCTTCCCTCTCAGGTACTGTAATTCCCAGATTGGTACCCATTGCTTCTGAGATGGAACTCAGATCAACCATCCTGTGCGGAAGATTGGCAGAAAACACTGAAAGAAATACTCATAAGAAAACAATGACAGTCCGAGATAGAAACCCTGCGAACAAGCCGATCGACCCCAGACCGCAGCTGTCATTTTCGTTGAATTGATGAGGAAGGTTCCCGGCTAAAGTTGTCCCAGGGGCAGTGAAGTCCGCCCAGCCACGGTCCCTCAGAACGACGTAGAACCGAACTGCACACTGGGAACTGTAGTTCTCTGGGAAAGGACCGAGCGACCGCCGCACATGCGCACTAAGAGCTCAGGGCAACAAAGACGCGGCGTGCGCGCGCGCGCCGGAGAAAGACCCAGGAGGGCGCGCGCGCGCGCGGCCGCCGCTCCGAGCTACTAGAGACGGCCGAGAGGACAGAAAGGGAGGAGCAGGAGCCGCCGACCTCAGGAAGAGGAGAAGGGGTTGTGCTCCTGGCCGCGCGAAGAGAAAGGGGCGGGGCCGGCGAGCAGCGCGTGGACGTGCCCAGCTCCTGGGGCCCGCGGGCGCGCGGGGGTCTGTGGCCCTCGCCGTCCCAGTAGCTGCTGCCGGCACTCGGTTGCGGTCGGTCTGCGGGAGGCGGGTTATGGCGGAAGCGGCAGTAGGAGCTGTGAATGAATTCTCCGGGTGGACGAAGGAAGAAGAAAGGCTCCGGCGGCCCCTGCAGCCCCGTGCCTCCCAAGCCTCCGCCCCCTTGCTTGGCCCCCGCCCGTCCCGCCCCCAGGCCAGCCCCCCCGCCGGAGTCGCCGCATAAGCGGAACCTGTACTACTTCTCCTACCCGCTGTTCGTCGGCTTCGCGCTGCTGCGTCTAGTCGCCTTTCACCTGGGGCTCCTCTTCGTGTGGCTCTGCCAGCGCTTCTCCCGCGCCCTCATGGCCGCCAAGAGGAGCTCCCCGGCCGCACCGGCCTCGGCCTCGCCCCCGGTGCCAGTGCCGGGCGGGGAGGCCGAGCGCGTCCAAGCCTTCCACAAACAGGCCTTTGAGTACATCTCCATCGCCCTGCGCATCGACGAGGACGAGAAAGGTAACTGGAGGGCCGGGGGAAGGGCGGCGGCGGCGGCGCGGGCAGAAAGCGGTGGGGTTGCCGAGGGAGAGCTGCACCTGCGTCCCTTTCCTGCGCGAGCGGGCGATGCACCCCTGGACTTGATCCTCCCCTCGAGACTGCCTCCCCGCAGTCAGACCTTCATCCTCTGCGATTCTCAGTTAAAACCTCTCCCTTTCCAGGGCACCCTAGTTGTCGACTTTGTTTCAGACACCAGCCTTCCCTTACACTTCTCATGATCCAGGTCCCCGTGAGACTTCCAGACGTGCTGGTGACAGTGACAGTTGTCCTAGAGTGACCACACGGATCCTTTCTAGCACTGTAAACACTGTGTGGCTTCCTCTAAGCCAGGTTTCCAAAAGGTTTTGATATCGAAGAAGCTGTGACTTGTTAAAGGCTTTTAGTGAAAGCAGAGTACTGTAGTGTCACAAAAAAGAATAGTGACTTAATTTTGAAAGGAACAGCTGCATATGATTACAGCTGAATTTGCATTTTTTAAAGTTTATGGCAGTCACTTTATCAGTGTAATGATCCTAAGTTTTTTTCAGCAAAATTCTATTTTAGCATAAAACTTTCCCCCTGGTTAATTTGATTTTATTTAAATCAGTATTCCAAGGTAGCCTCAAAGTTCCTAAATTGAAATGTTAAATGTATGAATAGGATAAACTTATACATATCATTTTACAATAAAACTTAAAACAAAGATTTATGTTTCTGAACAAAAGTAAGTATACTTCATCCTTAAGATTTAAGATAATGTATGTTAGTCTTTATGTGCCAGGCACTGTGCTCTTAGCTTTGCATGTGTTATCTATTTAATCCCCTCAATTACCCTGTCAGGTGAAGGTACTGTTAATGTCATCATTTTACAGATGAACAAACTGAGGCTCAAAAGATTAAAGCAAGTCATTCCAAACCTTTGTTACTTGGTAATGAAAATTTTTTATGAAAGATGATAAACTAAGTTAGAAGGAGTCTTATAACATTTTCAAAATCTCTCCTTTCATGCTCAACCTCCAGTATGCTGAGATCTTCTTTTCTTCTAATTAGCAAAGAACACTTCCACTACACCTCAATTAAGTACTCACTTGCATTGATTATTCTTTTAAAAGCAGTCTGCACTTCATTTGTAGTCTGTCTCTCCACTGCCAACTCCAGAAACTGTTCTAGGATTTCAGTTTTGTTGAAACCTATTTCCTTTGTGGGGCCTGGGAGTGAGAAGGAGGATATAAGGAAAGAGAATCGTGTTCATGGTTTTGTAGCATAAGCACTGTTTTATTGTAGTAGCCTATTCTAATAGGGTCCTCTGAAGTTTGCTAACCTAGATCAGAGGTATTTTAGAGGGAATGTGTTTAAGGGTAGATTTGTTGTTGTGTTTAGGAAGAGAATGCCAGAAAATACAAGGATTTTAGTTTTAACACTGGGTGCTGGGAGTTAATGTAAGAGGAGAGGTCAAGGAAAACCTAGACGTAAAAAAAGGAACCTAGGCTCGTAGATTTAAAGAGAAATCAGTTCCATGTGAGGGATAAGTGACAAGTAGAATTCAGACCTTGGGTTTCATGGTGACTTCTCTTTGAGTATTACATATATGCCTATATCTATTATATTTAAATCATCATAAATAATTTTTAAAGTATAGATACTTTCAGCAATCTACCCCAATATTTCACCCTCTTTCTACTGATAATGTTTCTGTTCCAAGGTTTTTGCTTTATTCTTTAGTTTCTAAAGTGGACATCAGAGTGGGCTATGATGACTCTAGTTTGAATTCTACAACAGATGCATCATAAGCTAAAATGAATTAGTTAAAACGGAAACAAATTAGTTATATATTCACTTCCCTTTAAAAATTAAGTGAAACTGAGTTTATATTGTCATGGCTTTTTTCTAATTTAAGTTTTTCCTTTAGCACATTAAAAGTTTTTGCACTTTAGCCTTAATCCAGTAGTTGTCAGAATTCACATATGAAGTCTCTTTGCCTCTCAGCCATCATAGACCATGCAAAACTTAATTCCAAGAGAATTTTATTCTCCCTCTTTTCTACTGCATTAAAAAATATATGAACAAATAGAAATGAATTTGATATGCAGTCCTTAAAAATTTCCTAACTCTGTAGTAAACCATTAAGGGTCTTGTAATGTCATGCACTGCCATTCCCCTTAGCAATTTGACTTCGTTTTTAAATGTACTGAGAACTTCTTTATTTCACCAGGTCAAGTGGGTTATTTCATTCTGTAGTGGTGTTAACTGAAACATTTGGTTCCTTGAAATAAAGACCAAATTAAATCTTATTTTAATTTAATAAAGTAGTGTATAAATGTGGTTAATATAGTGACTAGGTTTATTTTGAATTCCATTCTTTCTTATGCATACTTAGCTTTGACACTGAATTTTTATAAAGGCTAAAGTTTGTCGGAAACCAAACAATTTTATAATTGTTGTTGTTGTTGTTGTTGTTGTTGGGAGAGAGGGGAAGAGAGAGAGAGAAAAACATCAACGTGAAAGGGCACATCAAGTGGCTGCCTTTCTCATGACCCCAACCAGGGCTGGGCAGGAATAGCAACCAAGCTAGGTGCCCTTGACTGGAATCGAACCCGTGACTCATTGGTCTCCGGGCCGACGCTCCAACCGTTGAGCCAAACTGGCCAGGGCTGAAACCGAACTATTTTAAATAGAAAAGACTAGTACAGCAAATTCTTTCACCTAATAGAGGGCTATGTGAGGTCTATTTATTAAAGTAAAAATTTGTGGGATGCCAGTTCATTTGCACAGCTCTCTGCATTCTATATGTTACTTGAGGAAAAAAACTCACTTCCTCTCTAGTGAAATGTGTTAAGACAACATTTTTTTTTAATTCCTCACTCAAGGATATTTTTGTGTTTATCATCAGATAGTGTGAGAGGGAGAGAGAGAGAGAGACAGAGAGAAACATTGATGTGACAGAGACACAATGACTGGTTGCCTCTAGCATGACCCGACCAGGGCCAAGGTTGAACCACAACCAAGGTACATGCCCTTGACCGGAATCGAACCCGTGACTTATTGGTCTGAGGGCCAACACTAACCACTGAGCCACACCAACTGGGCAAAATATTTTTATTTATTGATTGATTTCAGAGAAAGAGGAAATAAAGGGGGGAGAGACAGAGAAACAGATAGAGAAACATCAATTTGTTGTTTCACTTATGCATTTATTGGTTGATTCTTGTATATGCCCTGCCTGGAAATCAAACCTGCAACCTTGGCTTATTGGGACAACTCTCTGACCAATTGAGCTACCCTACCAGGGCTTGTGGATATTATCTTAAATTGTTGAACATCCTGGAAAACTGATAACCTATGATATCCATTGTATATAGAGATAAACTGAAAACATTTTTTAATTTAATTTAATTTTTTTCCAATTTTTATTAATTTTTGTTACAGATGTTTCTTTTCCCCCCCTAGACATCCTCCTCCCCATCCTGCCCCCCTCCTCCCAACATTGTTGTCTATGTCCATTGGTTATGCATACATGCCTATAAGTTCTTTGGAGATAAACTGAAATTTAAAGAGTGAATTCACTATAACAAAACCAGGAACAGAATTTAGGTGAACAGACTCATAATTTTATACTTTGTGTTTTATACTAAGCAGGTTCTATTTTGTAATGCTAATACTGGACCCCTTGAATACTTGAGATGAAAGAGGAGGTTATAATAGTGGTTTTTTAGATTAAACAAAACATGACTTAACATGTTTCACATGGCTCCTGCAGGTAAACAAGCCTGAGATTTCCTGGATAATACAGTGCTGCTGGTTGTCTAGGTGTGGTTCCGATATGTAGGACTTGACAGTAAGAGCCTGGAAGGTTGTATCAAAGAGCTCTTGTTTGTCAGGATGTTGTAGGGCTAAAGAATCCAGCACCAAGGACAGAATTGTCTAAATAAAATATTTTTCTATTTATTCCTAGTCAGTTTATATTAAAATATGTTTTATAAAAAATAATTTTTCTGCCCTGGCCGGATTGGCTCAGCTGTTAGAGCATTGGCCTGCGAACCAGAGAGTCCCGGGTTCGGTTCCTGCTAAGGGCTCATACCTCGGTTTCGGTTTGTCCCCGGCCCCGGTTGGGGTCATGTGGGTGGCAACCACTCGATGTGTCTCTCTCACATCAGTGTATCTCTTTCTCTCTCTCTTTTTCCTCTCCCTCCTGCTCTGTCTCAAGATAAGTGCAAAAATGTCCTCGGGTGAGGATAAAAAGTAATAAATAAGTAAATAAATAATTTTTCTGCCCATCCAGGTCACGTGGTGAATATATGTTAATGTCGTAAGAAACTACCAAACTCTTTTCCAAAGTGGCAGTACCATTTTGTGTTCACATCAGCAAATACATGAGAGGTTCGTTTATACTTTAGCTTGTAATTCATTTTCCATTTTAGATCAGGTGTGTAGTAGTATCTTGTGTTTTAATTTTTAGTTCACTAATAACTAATGAGCACATCTTTTCTTGTGCTTATTTGCCATTTTTGTCTCTTCTTTGGTAAAGTGTATGTTTCAATCTTTTGACCACTATGTTTTTAATATTTTTTTATTGATTTAAGAGAGAGAGGAAGGGAGAGGGAGAGAAAGAAACATTGATGAGCTGCCTCCTACATGCCCGAGCCTGCAACCTGGGCATATACTCTGACCGGGAATCTAACCAGTGAGCTCTTTGTGCATGGAACTACGCTTAACCAACTATGGCACACTGTCCAGGGCTGACCACTTTTATTTATTTATTTTTTCTTTTATTGATTTTAGAGAGAGTGGAAGGGAGAGAGAGAGAGAGAGATAGAAACATCTATGAGAGAGAACACTGATTGGCTGCCCCTTGCATGCCCCCCACTGGGGATCGGGCCCACAACCTGGGCACATGTCCTGACCAGGAATTGAACCAGCAGCCTCTTGGTGCATGGGTTGATGCCCAACCACTGAGCCACACTGGCTGGACATGACCACTATTT